AACGCGCTGAGTTTCAGCTCGATTGGTTCAATAGTTCGTGAGGATATGACAAAATGTTGGAAAAAACTTATTTTTGCACATGCTGCAAATAGTGCTATTCGGTCAAACGCAACCTGCTGAGCACAACGCGCTGAGTTTCAGCTCGATTGGTCCAGTAGTTCGTGAGATATGACAAAATGTTGAAAAAACTTCGTTTTGCAAATTGGAGAAGAACAGTGCTAATCGGTCGCCCGCAACCTGCTGAGCACAACGCGCTGAGTTTCAGCTCGATTGGTCCAATAGTTCGTGAGATATGACAAAATGTTGAAAAAACTTGTTTTTGAAAATTTGAGAATAACAGTGCTAATCGGTCGCCCGCAACCTGCTGAGCACAACCCGCTGAGTTTCGCCTCGATTGGTCCAATAGTTCGTGAGATATGACAAAATGTTGAAAAAACTTCTTTTTGCAAATTGGAGAATAACAGTGCTAGTCGGTCGCCCGCAACCTGCTGAGCACAACGCGCTGAGTTTCAGCTCGATTGGTCCAATAGTTCGTGAGATATGACAAAATGTTGAAAAAACTTCTTTTTGCAAATTGGAGAATAACAGTGCTAATCGGTCGCCCGCAACCTGCTGAGTACAACGCGCTGAGTTTCAGCTCGATTGGTCCAATAGTTCGTGAGATATGACAAAATGTTGAAAAAACTTCTTTTTGAAAATTGGAGAATAACAGTGCTAATCGGTCGCCCGCAACCTGCTGAGCACAACGCGCTGAGTTTCAGCTCGATTGGTCCAATAGTTCGTGAGATATGACAAAATGTTGAAAAAACTTCTTTTTGCAAATTGGTGACGAACAGTGCTAATCGGTCGCCCGCAACCTGTTGAGCACAACGCGCTGAGTTTCATCTCGATTGGTCCAGTAGTTCGTGAGATATGACAAAATGTTGAAAAAACTTCTTTTTGCAAATTGGAGAAGAACAGTGCTAATCGGTCGCCCGCAACCTGCTGAGCACAACGCGCTGAGTTTCAGCTCGATTGGTCCAATAGTTCGTGAGATATGACAAAATGTTGGAAAAAATTTATTTTTGCACATTGCAGCAAATAGTGCTATCCGGTCAAACGCGACCTGCTGAGCACAACGCGCTGAGTTTCAGCTCGATTGGTCCAACAGTTCGTGAGATATGACAAAATGTTGGAAAAAATTTATTTTTGCACATTGCAGCAAATAGTGCTATTCGGTCAAACGCGACCTGCTGAGCACAACGCGCTGAGTTTCAGCTCGATTGGTCCAATAGTTCGTGAGATATGACAAAATGTTGAAAAAACTTCGTTTTGCAAATTGGAGAATAACAGTGCTAATCGGTCGCCCGCAACCTGCTGAGCACAACGCGCTGAGTTTCAGCTCGATTGGTCCAATAGTTCGTGAGATATGACAAAATGTTGAAAAAACTTCTTTTTGTAAATTTGAGACGAACAGTGCTAATCGGTCGCCCGCAACCTGCTGAGCACAACGCGCTGAGTTTCAGCTCGATTGGTCCAGTAGTTCGTGAGATATGACAAAATGTTGAAAAAACTTCGTTTTGCAAATTGGAGAATAACAGTGCTAATCGGTCGCCCGCAACCTGCTGAGCACAACGCGCTGAGTTTCAGCTCGATTGGTCCAATAGTTCGTGAGATATGACAAAATGTTGGAAAAAACTTATTCTTGCACATTGCAGCAAATAGTGCTATTTGGTCAAACGCAACATGTTGAGCACAACGCGCTGAGTTGCAGCATGATTGGTCCAATAGTTCGTGAGATATGACAAAATGTTGGAAAAAACTTATTTTTGCACATTGCTGCAAATAGTGCTATTCGGTCAAACGCAACCTGCTGAGCACAACGCGCTGAGTTTCAGCTCGATTGGTTCAATAGTTCGTGAGATATGAAAATGTTGGAAAAAACTTATTTTTGCACATTGCTGCAAATAGTGCTATTCGGTCAAACGCAACCTGCTGAGCACAACGCGCTGAGTTTCAGCTCGATTGGTCCAATAGTTCGTGAGATATGAAAAAATGTTGAAAAAACTTCTTTTTGCAAATTGGAGACGAACAGTGCTAATCGGTCGCCCGCAACCTGCTGAGCACAACGCGCTGAGTTTCAGCTCGATTGGTCCAATAGTTCGTGAGATATGACAAAATGTTGATAAAACTTCTTTTTGCAAATTGGAGACGAACAGTGCTAATCGGTCGCCCGCAACCTGCTGAGCACAACGCGCTGAGTTTCAGCTCGATTGGTCCAGTAGTTCGTGAGATATGACAAAATGTTGAAAAAACTTCGTTTTGCAAATTGGAGAAGAACAGTGCTAATCGGTCGCCCGCAACCTGCTGAGCACAACGCGCTGAGTTTCAGCTCGATTGGTCCAATAGTTCGTGAGATATGACAAAACGTTGAAAAAACTTCTTTTTGCAAATTGGAGAATAACAGTGCTAATCGGTCGCCCGCAACCTGCTGAGCACAACGCGCTGAGTTTCAGCTCGATTGGTCCATTAGTTCGTGAGATATGACAAAATGTTGAAAAAACTTCTTTTTGCAAATTGGAGAATAACAGTGCTAATCGGTCGCCCGCAACCTGCTGAGCACAACGCGCTGAGTTTCAGCTCGATTGGTCAAATAGTTCGTGAGATATGACAAAATGTTGAAAAAACTTCTTTTTGCAAATTGGGGAATAACAGTGCTAATCGGTCGCCCGCAACCTGTTGAGCACAACGCGCTGAGTTTTAGCTCGATTGGTCCAATAGTTCGTGAGATATGACAAAATGTTGAAAAAACTTCTTTTTGCAAAATGGAGAATAACAGTGCTAATCGGTCGCCCGCAACCTGCTGAGCACAACGCGCTGAGTTTCACCTCGATTGGTCCAATAGTTCGTGAGATATGACAAAATGTTGAAAAAACTTCTTTTTGCAAATTGGAGACGAACAGTGCTAATCGGTCGCCATAACCCTGCTGAGCACAACGCGCTGAGTTTCTGCTCAATTGGTCCAATAGTTCGTGAGATATGACAAAATGTTGAAAAAACTACTTCTTGCAAATTGGAGAAAAACAGTGCTAATCGGTCGCTCGCAACCTGCTGAGCACAACGCGCTGAGTTTCAGCTCGATTGGTCCAATAGTTCGTGAGATATGAAAAAATGTTGAAAAAACTTCTTTTTGCAAATTGGAAAATAAACAGTGCTAATCGGTCGCCCGCAACCTGCTGAGCACCACCCGCTGAGTTTCAGCTCGATTGGTCCAATAGTTCGTGAGATATGACAAAATGTTGAAAAAACTTGTTTTTGCAAATTGGAAAATAACAGTGTTAATCGGTCGCCCGCAACCTGCTGAGCACAACGCGCTGAGTTTCTGCTCGATTGGTCCAATAGTTCGTGAGATATGACAAAATGTTGAAAAAACTTCTTTTTGCAAATTGGAGAATAACAGTGCTAATCGGTCGCCCGCAAACTGCTGAGCACAACGCGCTGAGTTTCAGCTCGATTTATCCAATAGTTCGTGAGATATGACAAAATGTTGAAAAAACTTCTTTTTGCAAATTGGAGAATAACAGTGTTAATCGGTAGCCCGCAACCTGCTGAGCACAACGCGCTGATTTTCAGCTCGATTGGTCCAATAGTTCGTGAGATATGACAAAATGTTGAAAAAAATTCTTTTTGCAAATTGGAAAATAACAGTGCTAATCGGTCATCCGCAACCTGCTGAGCACAACGCGCTGAGTTTCAGCTCGATTGGTTCAATAGTTCGTGAGATAGACAAAATGTTGGAAAAAACTTATTTTTGCACATTGCAGCAAATAGTGCTATTCGGTCAAACGCAACCTGCTGAGCTAAACGCGCTGAGTGTCAGCTCGATTGGTTCAATAGTTCGTGAGATATGACAAAATGTTGGAAAAAACTTACTTTTGCACATTGCTGCAAATAGTGCTATTCGGTCAAACGCAACCTGCTGAGCACAACGCGCTGAGTTTCAGCTCGATTGGTTCAATAGTTCGTGAGATATGACAAAATGTTGAAAAAACTTCTTTTTGCAAATTGGAGAAGAACAGTGCTAATCGGTAGCCCGCAACCTGCTGAGCACAACGCGCTGAGTTGCAGCTCGATTGGTCCAATAGTTCGTGAGATATGACAAAATGTTGAAAAAACTTCTTTTTGCAAATTGGAGAATAACAGTGCTAATCGGTCGCCTGCAACCTGCTGAGCACAACGCGCTGAGTTTCAGCTCGATTGGTCCAATAGTTCGTGAGATATGACAAAATGTTGAAAAACTTCTTTTTGCAAATTGGAGAATAACAGTGCTAATCGGTCGCCCTTAACCTGCTGACCACAACGCGCTGAATTTCAGCTCGATTCGTCCAATAGTTCGTGAGATATGACAAAATGTTGAAAAAACTTCTTTGTGCAAATTGGAGAATAACAGTGCTAATCGGTCGCCCGCAATCTGCTGAGCACAACGCACTGAGTTTCAGCTCGATTCATCCAATAGTTCGTGAGATATGACAAAATGTTGAAAAAACTTCTTTGTACAAATTGGAGAATAACAGTGCTAATCGGTCGCCCGCAACCTGCTGAGCACAACGCGCTGAGTTTCAGCTCGATTCGTCCAATAGTTCGTGAGATATGACAAAATGTTTAGAAAACTTATTTTTGCAAATTGTTACGATATGAACTTCCAGGTTATTACTTCCGATATGCAAATATGTTAGGTCACGCGATCAGACACACTTGGCTGAACGAAGACACGGATTTACATATTGTTGTTGTAACTTTTATGAGACACTTTTTTGTTAGACCTAATAGAGAAAGGTTGATGTATATATGAGACATTAAAAATACCGATTACAAACATGGTGTCAGGTGTGAAAGTCGATTAAAATCAGCCCACAACAGCAGTAACTAGAGAATAGAACCGGTTCGAAGCGAAATCCGTGTACGATCACGACCAAAGACGTGAAAAAGCAACATAAACATGCCAGATACAAGCGGTGAACAGCAAGCCGTTGCTCAAGCTACAACGTTAAATTTTACATCTACTTTCCCGGTACCTTCCCCGATGGTTTGCCAGGGAGATAAAGTAGCCAACTGGGAGTTTTTGAAACAGCAGTGGGAAGATTACGAAGTCGCCACTGGCCTAGAAAAGCGAGATACGAAAACTCGACTAGCCACGCTACGATCAGTAATGGGCAAAGAATGTATGCAGATATTTATGAATTTAAAACTAACAGTTGAGGAGAGAAAAGATATCGAGATATGCATCGGAGCACTTGAAGCACACTTCAAACCGAAACGAAACGTGGTATACGAGCGATATAAGTTCAACTTATGCTCTCAGAATGCAGAAGAGTCCGTAGATGACTATGTTAATCGCCTCAGAAAACTCGCCTCGTCGTGTCAGTTCGGGACACTGACAGATGAATTAATTAGAGACTGACTCGTGCTGGGAATTACGGACAAATCGACAAAATTACGACTTCTCAAAGAAGATGGTCTTAACCTAAACAAGGCCGTGAACATGTGCCGCTCAAGCGAAATTGCGAACATACAATTGAAGTCAATTTCAACGACAAAAGAAACAGAAGAAGTAAATGCTGTACAAGAAAAAGGAAACCGCCATAAGTATCCGTCATCCAAATTCCGATCGGCTAGCCCGCGAGTTGGTAGCGCTAGCAACAGAGATAGCCATGGCCAAGGCTATAACAATTTCAAACAAAAATGCTACAGTACCGCTCAGAATTAACCTAACAAAAACCGCGGTTTAACCTCGGTTGAACCTCGGTTTGACCGCGGTGTGACCGCGGTGATTTAAAGGTTTGACCGAGGTTATACCGCGGTAATTTTGAGGTTAAACCGCGGTGACCGTGAGGTTTAACCGAGGTTTGAACGCAACCGAACCGAACCGATCCGCAAGCTTCGTATATACTCGTAATAGCATTCGTAAATATTCGTGTATTTCAGAAGGGATAAATATTGACATATTTTGTAAACATTGAGGCATGGGGAGGCTGTCGCTTTATGCCAGGGAGCGAATTGTCTATACTTTCGACAAATACTTCAGTTGTTGGAATAACTAAGAGTTTAAACAAATGGTAAAGGCAAATATGTAGGTCTCTTCTTGTTTATTACAGTTTAAATAGATGTTTTAGAATAAGTAAGAATTTGTCGTGCGCATCAACTTAAATTAACTTAACTCTTTAATATACACAATATACTGTCGCGAGTAAGAGTACATCCACTCGCGCGTAGCGAGTACTCGTTCTGACTCGCTACTCGCGAGTACTTGCATTTCATCTCACTCGCAAGCACTCGCCACTCGCAACTTGCGAGTGCTTGCGAGTCAAAAGGCTCAGACAATTTGTACAAATATGAAGCGAATAATTCAGCTAAATGAAATAAAACTCCATAGTTATATGAAACATAGTATGATAGATATTAACGTGTTTATAAACGACTGCCACATGGTGGGAAATATTTTCTTCGAACACAGTTCGTAAATGGTCGGACAGTCTTAGAAGCGTTAGCTATAACTGAGTCTATATCAATCAAAACAAAGCTTTAAAAGCGAAACCGCAATCAAAAATGTAAAAATGACACCAAAATGCGAATGATTGGACGAACAAATGCCATATTTAAATTTGGGACTATATATTCAAATATGGTCCGGTTGTAAGAATTGGCATTGAGTTCACTGACGCTGTTTAACAATATAAATATCGAGTACTCGTCGACGTTGTCTTGTAATTGCAGTAAGATTCGAGAATCAAATTAGGAGTAAAAACGTAATACTGTAAAGTGCAAAGTGACAAAATATAACTTACATTGTATATACTGCTAGCATCTGTCTTGAATCGGGAACCATTACAAACTCGCAGTTTCTCGCTCGTTATAGTCAAGCGACTTGATGCGCTGAATCCAATTGAAGATAATATCGATTGAACCCCATGGAACAACGTAACACGAACATACTTTATTTAAAGCAATTATACTAGTATCATATAATCGACAAATCCTGCCTATACTAATACAAGTATAGATTGTTTTGGCAGATCTCATGCATGTATGGTCATTATGATATTAAAGAAAGACATCAGCCATGAAATATTTGCGGAGGCGTAGTGTGCTTTGTTTGTGTTAGATCTGTGAATTGAAATATTTTAGAGTCTATAGTGGTCTGAATGTTTTTGGCACGTGTCAGAAAAATTTCAGCTGATCATGTTTGGTTTTTTCCCCCGTTAACTTGCGTTTCGTGCGGGTTTGAGCTGAGGACAAATTTACACAATTTAATTGCTAAGTTCGTCAATGGCCCATATGCCGCGGTTTCTAAAAAAAACATCTATTATAATCTGTGTTCAACGAATATACCAATGTTCCTTGAACTGTGTCAGGCCGAATTTTTCCCGAAACTCAAAAGGCAAAAGTCTATTTAAAAATTGTGTCAATTTGTAACCGCGTAATATTAGGAACTTTTTATCATGATGCGCATGAAAATATGTGTTGTTGGTTTTGACAGCTTATAAGTATAAAACTACAAATACAAATATATTAATTTTTCAAACAACTGCTTTATCTTGTCAAATTTTCTCAGCTATAGCCTGGCTATATAGTATTGAAGAATATGCCAAAATTTGATTTCTTCTACTCGGTCAAGAAGCCTAATTAACTACAACTGCATGGTTATGTGAGCATTTTTTTCTTCAAAATTGGCACTCACACAGACAGTTTAAGAGTTCAAGCTCAAACCCGCACGAAACGCATAGTAACGGGGAAAAAACCAAACATGATCAGCTGAAATTTATCTGACACGTGCCAAAAACATTCAGACCACTATAGACTCTAAAATATTTCAATTCACAGATCTAACACAAACAAAGCACACTACGCCTCCGCAAATATTTCATGGCTGATGTCTTTCTTTAATATCATAATGATCATACATGCATGAGATCTGCCAAAACAATCTATACTTGTATTAGTATAGGCAGGATTTGTCGATTATATGATACTAGTATAATTGAATTTTTTTGCTTTAAATAAAGTATGTTCGTGTTTCGTTGTTCCATGGGGTTCAATCGATATTATCTTCAATTGGATTCAGCGCATCAAGTCGCCTGACGGCTATAACGAGCGAGAAACTGTGAGTTTGTAATGGTTCCCGATTCAAGACAGATGCTAGCAGTATATACAATGTAAGTTATATTTTGTCACTTTGCACTTTACAGTATTACGTTTTTACTCCTAATTTGATTCTCGAATCTTACTCCAACTACAAGACAGCGTCGACGAGTACTCGATATTTATCATGTTAAACAGCGTCAGTGAACTCAATGCCAATTCTTACAACCGGACCATATTTGAATATATAGTCCCAAATTTAAATATGGCATTTGTTCGCCCAATCATTCGCATTTTGGTGTCATTTTTACATTTTTGATTGCGGTTTCGCTTTTAAAGCTTTGTTTTGATTGATATAGACTCAGTACTCGCTAGTACTCGCTGCGCGCGAGTGGAGGTACCCTTACTCGCGACAGGTACTGTAATAAAGGCTAAAGGTTATAACGCGTGTACCTAAAAGGTAAATAAAATCTCGGCCTGTTAGGCACACACGCGTTATAACCTGGAGCCTTCATTTTAAAACTTTATTATAATTGACAATCTAGCCTTTATTATAAAACTTTATTATAATCGACGATCTGCTGTAGCCCTTATTATATAATTGAAGCTGACACCACAGCCTTTAAGCTTTCTCTTAGCTGTTATCCCCGAGCCGGCGGCGCGAAGCTCCGTGCGAGGGTGCTAATTCCCCCCGGCTATTTACACCCGGGGAAACGAAAGCATTAGCGGAGTCTAAAGTTCATCAAATATCGCGGGCGTCGGTCACCAACGATGGGTGGTCATCCTCACTGATCTCAAAAATATGGCGGACTGTCATGAATAACGGACACTGATTGGTCCAATTTAAAGTTTGCATTATAACGCTGTATGACGACAGCGAAATAGCAAACATTTCTTGATTTGATGAGTTGATGATTGATAAATTTCTTGCAAATATTCTTCATTTTTGCTCGTATTTCTGCAAGATTTTGTAAATTTCAAGAAAGAAAGGGCGAAAGAATCAGCTAAAAGAAGGGAGCCGACGTTAACGAAGGTAAGTTTGTTTTAAATATTGATTTTATAATGGCTTTAAAACCCGACGGCCTTTGCGTATATGAAACAACTAAACAAGACAGCATATAATTTCAGTGTATCTTTAATACTGATTCCCTTTTTTATTATATTGAATTTTTTAAATAAAAAATAAAGCAAAGTTGATTTGCAAGCGAGAATTTGAAATCATTTTATTGCAAACTCAAAGTTTATCGATAAAGCCATTTAATAGTTAAAGGCAGTTTAGTTTTATAAAGAACACTTTAAAACGTTTTGTGAATTGTTTGTGGTTGAATTTTACCTTAAATTGAAGCTTGTATTACGTATAATTACATACCTAACATAAATATGTTGGGAAATTGATAATTCTGTAATTAAAAGTGATATTTTTAGGCGATTTTCATTTGTAAGAATATTCTTAAAAAATTATCGTGTTACCATGACAACTACTTTAGATACTTCATGTTCGGAAAATACAACGGTTTTGTCAGCAAGGCGAGGGTTTCTGCATGCATGTATTTTCTGGTATTATAGCCCGAGTTAGCAGTTTATTAGTGAAGACATTCTATACCGCGAATATTTTACTGCTTTTGGTCGGAAAACCTCGGAATCAGAATGCATATTAAAACCGCAGTTAGCTTTTTGCCGATGCGCGGGCTAAACCGCAAAAAAACCGCCCGATAACCGCCCGATAACCGCACGTTGACCGCACGTTGACCGCCCGATAACCGCACGTTAACCGCAGGCTAACCGCAAAACGACCGCAACCGCAGTGTTAGGTTAATTCTGAGCGGTACTGTATATTTATTTTTAATAAATGAATGTTTGCTGTCGTATTATAGTATTAATATTAATACAAATGTTTGGCAAGTGTGAGCTATTTCGCTTTATATATTAATTATTATAACCAAACTTTAAAGGTGCCCCTACAGTCCGATCTTTGCATGTGCACAAAGGAGCCCACTTTTTATTATAAACAAACAGTTTAACTATGTTTTGGGTTCTTGCAAAGCCTGATTGTTTTTCTTGATCATTTATTATACTCTAGAAGGTTGAAAATACAAATAGTTGTCGAATAAAGTTCAATATTTTGGACGCAAAAATGTAAACAAAGGCTTTGTTTACATACGGACTGTAGGGCACCTTTAACATTATATACTGTATAATTAAATACTAATTTTTTCATACCCTTATAATATAAAACATTAGTCTACAAGAGCGCCTGACCCAACATAAATAAAAATTTATAACCATTCCTAAATCCCTAACCTTATAAGCTATATTATACACCCGTAATCCTACCAAAACTTTACCATAATCCTAAACATTGGTATGTATTTGTTATATCAAGCTATTTCAGTTGTGCATGAATTGAGAAAAAGCCCAAATTCGTCTCATTTGCGGTTGATACACTTTCTATTTTACATTTGCACTTGGTGTCACACATCACTTCCATTCCCCTACAATCGCACTTTCTTGTGGCACATTTTCCTTTGCATGCACAAGGCTTTATTTCTGATGCTCTCTCTTTATTTACAGGTAAAGCTGGTTTACTGAACCGAGATTTCCGACTGGCTACCACCTGTTCCTTTGAAGGTCGATCCTTTCCTGCCAAGTACTGTTCAACTAATGATTTTGGTTCAACTGGTAGAACTTCATTTGCATGAACCTTGGCTTTCTTAAGAGTTGGGTACTTGTGTCTTAGGTGAACAACTTCATTTAAAATCAATTCCACATATCCTATAAAAATAAATTTTTAACTTAAAATCTTTTTTGCACCTATTATTATTTGTCAGTGACTTGCTCCCAGCTGAGATGCATGTTAGGCAGAGCAAAATAATAAAGTAGGATCTATTTAGAGGCATTGCAGTGAAATTGGTTAATGAGCCAATCTCTATTAAATCAAAGCATCAGGCAAAATAGATGAGGTCACACAATTGCCACTTCATGGCTAACTAGCATGCAAGGCCTACATCAGGAAAATATAATTCTTACCATAGGTTGGCATTTCTTTCAATCGTTTTGCTACTGCCTTTTCTCCTTTAAATGCCTTGGGATATGAAATTGCCCATCTAAGCTTCCCATCAACTGTTGTAGCTTGTTTCCTATTGCTGTTTTCATTATAGTGCAAGTTTGAACAGTACAACCTGCAGAAACAATATCAAATTTTAAAAATAGGAAACCACCTGATGTTTGCTAGCTTGCAAATATATTAAAATATTCTATTTATATTCACAGGCTAGGTGTTTGCTATTTTTTCAAATAACTGCAATGTTGTTTGCCTGTGTAACCACAGATGTAGCACACCTAACTCAAATGTACATGATCACATAGATATGTTAACTTTATGCTGTTAATATTAGAAAAAGAGAACCTCACCTTGCACTTAATGAATGATAGGGATGGTATATGTTTTTTGATGCAAGGATGTTATCCAGAGCATGTTTAGCCTCCAAACCAGATGTTTGATGGTATTGGGATAGCTTACGAATTGCTGTAATTAGTTGAGGCCTAGTTAACATCTCTGTTATTTTTTTGTATGCAGCAGATCCTGCAATAATACAAATAAAATATAAATGCTTGTACTAACGTTACTGTTAGTATGCAAGACCCTCCAAGTAAAATCGTCTGGCATTTAACCTACTGAGTTGCATTGTGCCCTGATGTGCCAATACTTTATTATTTTACTCTGTATAACAGCAGACGATTTTACTCATCAAGGGAAGAGCGCTGGCATTTAATGGGTAACTGGCCTATCTGTCCATGTGTCTAGTTAACCCATTTAGTTGCATTGCATCCTACTTTACTACAGTATTTTACTCTATCTAACGCCAGACGATTTTACTCGTCAAGGGGAGAGTAAATAATAAAGTAGGGCACATTGGGAAGTTGGGCACAATACTATTATTAGCCTACATTCAGTTAATGTCGAATTTAAACATGCCTATAAATAGTTCAACTTCTTATTTTACCCAACCTTGTTTAAGCCATTCTCTTTCTAGTGGGCCATGAAGACATTCAACAAAGGTCTTATGGCCATCATGTTTGTGAACATTCACAATGTGGTTCAGAATACTGTGCCATTTTTCCTCCCTCTCATCAGCAGCCTTGCTTGAATCACCAACCCAGTAAATATGATTAACAATGGACTGCCAAACAACAAAATTAATGAACATGTTAATCATTATTGATATTATTGGTAATAGTGCGATCTGTCTACTATCTAATACTGTGCATTGTAATATGTATTACTTACCCAAATTAATATTTCTTCTTTTCACCTTTAAAATAAACACTAGTGTAAAGAAAATTTAATACCCACTGCCCCTAGCTTAGCAAATTGCTTTTGCCTACCTGCAAAGAATGTAAACATGCAGGCATACAGTACCATGTAATGTAAGTTTTACCTACCTTTTGCCACATGCCAAACATCATAAGAATGCTCAACATTTGGTTTCTCATTTGCCATGTATGCCGAGACTTGAGTGTGGCGATCTGTCACAAGTTTGGTCACCTGAACTTTATTGTCCTCCAAGCATTTAAGTTTTATAATTCTGAGAAAAGGCTTTCAAAGATTCTAGCTCCATTGCATTTGAATTTTTTACTTCTGTAGACTATGAAAATATTAAAATGACAATAATTTTCTCAGAATTATAAAGCCTGTTTCACATCTCAATTTTCATGCAAATGCAAATGAGCTCAAACAAATATAACGTTACTTCAGGTCATTTGCCTTTGCTTGGGCACACCCGCACATGAAATGTTGGACATGTGAAACAGGCCTATCAAGCATGAACTATTTATGAGCATATTTAAAATTAATTTTATTACTATTAATTATTACTTTTTATTAAAAGGCTGTACTTGATTTTATATTCCCTATTTATTAGTTAATTATTTATTAATTTTGCATTAGTATTAATTTTGCAAACACAAGTTTTCATTCATAGTTATTATTTTCAATGTGCATTACCTTAATTATTTGTGTATCCAATATGATGTTTCGTCCCATGTCGAGCGTACTTCCCGATCCAAGAAGACCACAGTGACCAGGGCTGTCAACACGCATATCAGATGCAATTACAACTGGTTTTCCCTCAATTTCTTTTAGCCGTGCAGATTGCTCTTTTTGCCAAACTTCGTATACAGCTGGAATACCATAATTCTTTAAAATGTTTGATAACTCCCGTCGCTTCACATTAGGAATCCTTAAGGAATTGAAAAGTCGAAGAACTTTAGCTGATTCCATTCCTG